GGGGGAAGGTGGAGCTCAGAAACTCATGGCAAGCAGGGAGCCTCGGAGAGGCAAGACGACCACTTGGGGAGCAGTGATGCACTCATGGGGTACAACCAAGCAAGAGAGGACAGGCTGGCCGTGGCCCAGGACCCACAGGGTCAGAGCGCAGGCAGGGGCACTGACAACTTCAGCAGAGTGAGGAAGCAGGGGGTGGGGGCAGTGTGATCAAGGAGACCAAGAATGGACACTGGGGAGTGGTGTAGACACATCAGCGAGGAAAGTTTGGTTCCTTCTTGAAGTTTCTTAAAATGCATCTTGTCTTGGAAGGCACGACTTGGTGACTAATCACACAGAAGTCTAAAGGATGAGAGACGGATCCTTTCAACAAGACAGGTTTGATGGGGGTGCGGAACAAGGACGTCAAGAGGGGGGAAAGGGAGACATAAAGGAACCGTGGATGGGGAGGGACCCAGAAGAACGTTCTGGGCTGACAGGGAAGGAGGGGATTCCCCAGGCGGAGTGACCTCTCCGAGGCTGCTGAGAAGGAAGGGAGGCCGACTCCTGGGAGACAGGGGGCAGGCAGGAAACTCCGGGGGTACAGACTCCATCAGCCTCATGGTATTTACCAAAGGCCATCAGATACCGGTGAGGGAAGGACAGTTGGAGAAGACAAAGCTCAGAAGAAAGAAGAAAGGAGGAGTAGTCATTGCTCATAATGGCGAACACTCCTTTCGCATTTACTATGTCAGGTGCTTCCAACTCATATCCAATGGATTAGGCACGATGATTTCCCCCATTTTACAGATGAGGAAAGTAAGGCAGCAAGGTGAAATGATTTAGTCATGGTCACACAGGGGGCAAATGGTGGCGTGGGGACAAGAACCAGTGTTTGGATTTTGGGGCCTGTACCCACAGTGCCCATCCTTCTACATCAGGTAGGGAGGCTCACAGCCCTTCCTGAGAAGACAGGGGTGGAGGAAATAGACACTTCTCTCCTGCATCAGAACCAGTGTTGGGTGCCAGTCGCACATGTCTCAGCAAGGGCAACGCTCTGAAGGTTACCAAGCCAGCACAAGAAGCTGGGAAGAACCCGCAACCAGCCATGAAGCATCACACCTCTTTCAACAGCAAAGACTTAATCCACTTTCTGTCGGGTCTACCCAGGAGGTCGACCCCGAACTCTCTCCTTCAGCTTGGTCCACGTCAGCAGCATTGACTGGGGGAAAGAGGTGTAGCAGCCATAAAAACCTCAAAGGCATCAATGTCCTCAAGAAGGCAGGACAGCCAATTGACCTGGGCACACCGGCAGAAGCCAAGGGGCGGACACTGAACCAGGAGGCCTGGACCTGGGTCCTCAGTCCTAAGTAGAGGAATTAGGTGGATGATTTCAAAGTCCTCCCCTGTTCCAACATTCAATAATTCAATATTCCTTGAAAAAAAAAGTTCCCTTAACCCAGAAGCGTTACAGGTGAACCCTACAATGTTCAGAGATGGCCCAGGATTAAACAAAAACAAACAGAACAGAACGCATAATACTCGAACACTTTAATGGTGGTCACCTCTGTGTGGTGGAATTTTTTGCTCCTGTATGTTTTCCTGTGCTTTGTACTGTTTCTCCCACTGATCACCAATTCTTTGGGGGAAACATAAAAGTTATCTTAGAAAATCACAGCAAAGAAGCTTTCTATATAAAATTCAGCCCTTCCAGAGAAGGAACTGAAAATGGTTGGTTATGAATAAGGTACAGATTTCAGATCACGTTTTTCATCATCAGCCTCGTGGAACCAGGAAAGCCAAGGTGGAGGTTTGTGGGGGAGAGGCTGTAGGTCACAAGGTCATGACCACCCCAGCCCAAATGGTCATTCCCTTCAGATAGAACCTATTCGTTTCGTGGGGACAATGAGGTGTCTGGGGGAGGAGAGAGGATCTCTGCCCATGTCCTTACAAGTCCTCTTTGTCTGCCGGCTCAGAGGCTGTCCGGAACAATGGCCCTGTTCATGTCTAATCCAGATGTACTTTGTTCATGTGAGTGGGGACAGGTCGGGAACACCAGCAGAGGTCACAAAGCCAAGCCTCATGGAGGCAAGTTCACGCAACGCTAGGGCTTCTGGGCTCTCAGGAGCCAAGAAGCAGCGGGGGGATGCTGGGAGGAAGGGTCCCGTGGGCCGAGCCTGGCTCAGCGTCCCCACGGGAGGGGCCTATAGCTAAAGGGGGAGATGGGGAAGGAGGAGATGGGCATCTTCCACAGTGGTCAACGGGCCCTGACTCAGCTTTCTTTCTCTTGTTCAGCTGTAGACAACTGCAGGGAAGAATTCGGCTGAGAAAACCCGTTTGCATTTTTCACTCGAGATCCTCAGGGCAGACAGGAGCTGAACTCAGCCAGCAGTTGGGGTTCTCACATCAGGAGACCATTAGGGGAGGAGGGGGGAGTAGGAAGAGTGACACTGGGCCCAGGAGACCAATGTCTGAGTAGGGTCCTGACGGGTCCCGGAAAGGGTCAGATGTCCTGATGGACAGAAGTTGGAACAATTCCAGGTACATACCATCCGATGACTATTCCTAGAGGAGCCTTAGGGACACCCGCAGAGGGGCTCCACGCCTGAACCCCGGCCTCACCAGCCTCCTGTTGCTGGGCAGCAGCGGAAGCCTAGCTTTTCATGCAGAGCCACCGCCCCGCTGGTGACACAGAAGGCAGGAGAGGCTGCCTACACCTACTCTGGGCCCTCTGGCTTAGCAGTGGATGCCAGAGAGCAAGGGGGCCTTCAAAGGAAAGGTGCCTCCCCGTCATACCCCCTTTCTACCCCACAGCCAATTCTTTTGCTTTAGGATTAGAACTCTCTCCCCTTTGGACAATGAAATCTTACCAGAAACCCAATATAAAAACTGACCAAGGCTGCAGAGGTGAAGGCCCAGAGCCCCACCACCTACTGTCTCCCGAGGGTCTCCCTCCCTGTGTCCCTAAGGCACCTTTCTGGAACTTCAGGCTCTGGGAAGAACTTGAAATCAGTATTCTAGGGCAGCAGGAACTGCAGTTACCAGACTGAGATAGGAGCTGCCTGCCTCGGGAGGCTTTGTCCTGAGAAAGGAGGAGCACAGAGACACGGCATGGATCATGCACCATGCAGCCGGTGCAGATTGGGACTGAAGACCGTGCTGGTGCACGACAAAGGGCACCAGACTGGAAGTCAGGAAACCTGGAGTTTCAGCTGGACTCCACCATTTACTAGTCCTATTATCTGGTACATTATCATACAGCCTTCCTGGGCCTCAGCTTCCTTATCTGTAAAACTGGGATGATAATATTGACCCCGAGGGGTCACCGTGAGCACAGTATCTGACCAGGCAGACCTCAGTAAACATTAGCTGGGTCTGAATGAAATCAGTGAGAGCTGGCGCCTTGGGTTCAATGTCCACCCCTCTGGGCCAACTTCAGATTCATCACGACACTGGCCGCACAGTAACTGTCAAGAGATGCTTGTCTGCTCCTCAGGGAAAAACCTTGGTAAGAGAGTGCAAGGCTCAGCTCCTGGTGGGCTTGGGTCTGATCACACATTCTAGGGGACACGCCAGCGTGAATGTCTCCGAAGCGTACAACCTGTGATTCGGCACGAGGTTGGGAAAAATCTTCAGGCAGAAAGAATGCCATGGAGCCTGACTCAGATGACCCAGACCACCAGCAGGCTACCGGCTGCCAGAATTATCCCAAAACACACATCTGTGCCATGAGGCCCAGAGCCAGTCAGCAGCTGCTCTCAGCGGGCCTGGGAAGGTTCCTTCCAGGCCTGTGCTCGTTGGGAACGACAGCATAGAAGGGCTCTCCCCCAACACACACTCAACCAGGTGCTGCTGGGAAGTCCCCTAGCAGAGCTAAGGTCCAGCATATCCCCCCTTCCCTGAGTGACCAGATAGTGACAAAGAAAGGACAGGAAAGAAGGGGGGGGGCAGCCCCCACATCTGAGCACAAAAGGGTCTCTGCCAACCCTCCTGTGACATGAAGGGGTCAACTCTTAAATCATGATACTGTGGAAGGGGTTGGATGTTAGTCATCCATTAACAGCCTCATTAGTGATTAACAGCCTCGGTGACAGATTAAAGCCCGGGGTAAGACCCGAGGGGAGGGGTGATAAAGATAATCTGCACATGCTCAGCCGAGTTGCCTGAGCCGCCCAACCAGGACTCCTCGGAGTCTCCTCCGCCTCCTGGTCCACTCTGTCTTCAACCACAGTGTTCGCCCAAGTTACTGTAACAAACCACAGCCCTTAATAGTTTTATTCTATTTCCAACGACGGCACAGTGAACTCCCTGCTAAGGACCACTCCACAGATAAAGAAACTTGTAGCCCATGGGTAAGGGGTGCCTGGAGATACCAGAGTTTTAAAGGCCGTCTGCTTCTACATCTGCCAATGCATACACTTCGTCCACACATGCCGGCCAAGTACTCAACCAGTCTCACAGGTATATCTGCAGTAGTGGGAGACTTGACTCTCTCCCTTCCATCTGGGGCCAGCTCTGGCTGTAGCTCTGTTCCCTCGGGCTTGTACCTCTTGGTCCTCCGTGGATCCACTGCTTAGAGAGCAATACTCTTCTACAGACTGCCCGTTAGCTATTGGGCAGCCTCCCAGGATGCCTCCCAAGTCACGATGGGGCTCAGTGACCCAAGTGCCTTCAACCCTTACTTAGGAAGTATAGACAAGAACCTCACACCATCACCTTCCATCTCCAGAACTTTCAGTCTCGCAGAGCTTGGGTTCACAATACTTCAGAGTCTGACTGGTACAGAGCATGAGAAATGTCACCTTCCTTGTTCTGGAAGCCATGCTTCTTTTAATGCTGCCAAACATCACATGACCTTCCTATCAGCCATGCCACTTTTAACTGTACACTGTATTTCTGTCAACCAAAGGTCTCCCCTGCTACAAAAGCTTTTTAACAACACCTCTACATCTAATATATGTTCAGTTGCTTTGGGGGACCATGTGTAGGGCACTGGTAGGTATTCTAGCCAGACTTCCTGTTAGGATGCCCAACTAGCATTCTAGCCTTCTTATGTTTTTTAGGCTCTCATTCCACACCCTTGAGAATTAACCACCTCTCCCTGCTTCCTGTCATCCAGGCCATTGGTGAAAAAGGTGGAGAAGGCAGAGAGCCCTTCACCATCCTGGACCATCTCCCTCCAGATGGAGACAGGGCTATGCTCAACCAGTTACTAAAGCCTTAGCACCAAACTCACGTTTTCCATCTTAATCCCAAGGGTATCATGAAAGACCTCACCAACGTCTTACTGACGTCCGCATTTCCAAACCATCTAAATGTCTATCCTTGAGGAAGTGGCTAAATAAAAGGCTATTTGTCTACACAACAGAATTCCACGCAATAGTTTAAAAATATGGTAAATGTATTTATTACAAGACATACATTTTTATGTTGGCAGCATGTATAACAGTCTATTCTCAAAGGGCACAGAATCCCTCTGTAGGCAAAGAACTGTATGCATTCCGTGTAAACGCACAGAAAAAAGTCCAAGGTGACACACGCTAAAGTGATGTTACCTGTGAGACAAGGATTGGGGTGGTACCCAAGGAGATAAGGATCTAGAAGTCAGTTTTTGTGAGAAGGCATCACCTATTATCTAACTAAAATAAAATCTTAAACCCCCCAGGTACAAGACATCTGGGGATTCCCACCATCCATCAGTTTACTGCTGGTTTCCAAAGGCAGAACAAGGCCAATGGAAAACAATTTGCGTCTAGTAAACACTGATCATTGTTTCCTGCCTGGATGCCGATAAACCCATCCCTTTCACAATTTGTTCAACGATCCTCCCTCCTCGCCCTTTGGAAAATCTTGCCCTTTGCAGCCGCTCACATCAACCTAGCAGATCTGGACCAAGCGGGTCAGTAATCTGTCTGCCCTGCGGCAAAACTCACCTGGGCTCGGGAATATGTTAGGAAGCTCCGTCAAAGTGAGCAAAGAGTATAAACAAAGGCCACCTGGGCCACTCCGAAATGACCAGGGCTGCTGGCAAGGGTGGAGGGGTGGGGGGAATGACCATTCCAAGGGATGTTTCAGGGGTTTCCAAAGATCATGTCCCAAAGCAAGACAGCCGACAGTGACCCTCCAGAGACATCCGGACAGAAGAACCCCCAAGTGAAGCACCTACGTGAAGCCCTGACTCCTGCTTTTAGAGCAGAGCCCTTACGTTAATCCCTCACAAAAGAGAGGAGGAGAAAGCACACCTTTCAGCGCATGGCACCTCGCTGCCCCTGCACCAAAGGGATGGCTTTGGTTTGTTCTCATGACCAGTGGATCCTGCTGGGCCAGGGATCTTGAAAAACGTGCCGTGGCTTAGGGAAGATGTCTGGCTGGCATGAATAAATGTGGTGGGGAAGAGAGGCAGGAGGGAGAGGAAGATGTTCAATGCGGTATGATGGGGCACCCACCTGGGTTCTTGTCTACCTTCCGTTTGCAGGAAGTCTTAGCAAATACATACAAACTCCAGACATCAGTATAAAAGTAAGGGTTAATCTATAAGGTTCCTTCTAACTCTGTGAAGTGGGGAGGCGGGGGGAAGGACACAAGAAAGGGAGGAAGAAGAGGAGAAAGGGAGAATGCCATAGCAGGTCTATGAAAAATTTTCTAGAAATGATCTGCTTGCCAAAACTGTTTTCCTTTATGTTTAACAAAAGCCTTCCTGGCTGCAGTTCGAACACACGATCCCCCCACAGCCCCGGTGAATAAGGAGACGTCAGCTAGCACTCCGAGCTGCCTAGTCCCTGGCCCCTGCAGGTGCTCTCCTATGTGTGGCTCAGCGGCCTCCCCCTTTGCGAGGCCTCCCGGACCGGCCTCAGGGGGTGGCACTGCTCTTAATGACAGCCCCTCGCTCAGCCAGAACCACTGAGTTCCCAGAGTGGGATAAAGCAGGTCCTGGAGGGAGACGGGGGTCAGGGAAGAATTCTGAGAAATATGTCGTGCCTCAGCCACCGCAGGCTTTAACATTGTATCACGGCATACACGGAAGCACGCTGCGGTCTCTTCTGCACTACGGAGTGGAGCCAGCCAGTGGATGGACAGCTGCTTTGCTAGAAGGCTCCAGATTTGCTCCTGTTTTTCTAAATTATCCCAGGGAACAGACACGGCAAAACAACGAGCCCTCGTGGCAGGGGAGGAAAAGGGCAGGACACTAGACCCCTCTGCTCCACGGGGACTCAGGGCAATTACTCCCCCTAGAGCTGAGTGGCCTGCACCAAGTTATTCCCAGATTTTGAGGTCAGGTATCCAGAATGGCAGGCCAACGTTCCTCCCCTCCCCGGCTACACTGCCTACTTAGTCAGGGGCTCTACCAGAGGGTCAGAGCCTCCTAGGAAAAAACCTTTACCTTCTCTCGAGCAAGGCTGCCTTTCCCGAAACTGCTACAGAGAGCCCCACGTCCAAGGGGTTCGCCAGCCTCTTACCTTCATCCCAAAGGACTGCATTCGGGTGGCCACCTCTCTTCCGATCCTGCCCAGGCCAAGAATTCCCAGGATCTTTCCATTTAGCTCTGTTCCCATGAACTGCAAGCAAACAAGCAAAAGGCAAGGAAGCCAAAGTGAGCGGCAGAGTGGACCCCAGGCACCGAGCCAGGCAGGGCGGGGCAAGACCGGCTGCTCACCTTCTTCCGTTCCCATTTGCCGTCCTTCATGGAAGCCGTGGCCTGGGGAATCTGCCTGCAAGGACAGACACAGGCTCAGCCGGGGCCCACGCAGAAGGCAGGGCGTGAGGTCTGACCGGCCGCCTCTGACAGTCATTCCCCTGGGGGCCGAGCTCAGTCTGGGTCTGGAGCTCAGGTACAGAGACACCGAGGGGGGTCAAGGGAGTGGAGCAGAGGGAAACCGCCCAGCGAGGCCTGACAGGGGAGCCCTGGGATTTCTGTCTCCAGCCAGGACTCCGGGTCAAGGTTCTGATTCCACCTCAACCACCAAGTGACTCTAGGCATGTAAGAAGTCAGAGCCAATCCTCAGGGTTCCCAGGGATAACGAATGGGGTATTGAGCGACTCTGAAGACATCAGGTTCATTAAGGAAGTTCAAGGATTTTCATTTTATTTTTCCATCAAAGGCTGCCACCTGCATCTTCTACTGTATCAACAGACAGCTGGTTATTTAATTCTTCCTTACAGTTTCTTAAGCCGCAGCAGTCTCAGGCTACCCTAGGACGGGTGGGTGCCACGGTGCATACCAACTCCTACCCCAACACCCAGCCTATTTCCTCCTATTGGTTAAACAAAGGTCTGAGTCTCCACCTGTTTTCTGGAGGGGACAAAGGAAGTTAGGGCAGAGTCAGAGGTGAGAGGGTAAGATTATGTCATCCGGGCTTCTCTGGAAGTGCAAAAGGGAGACAGGAAACAATGTTTAAAATGTTGAAGGAGCGGGGTGCTGGGTGGCTCAGTCAGTTAAACATCCAACTTCGGCTCAGGTCATGATCTCACAGTTCATGAGTTCGAGCCCAACATCAGGCTCTATGAGGACAACCCAGTGCCTGGAGCCTTGCTTCGGATTCTGTGTCTCCCTCTCTCTCTGCCCCTTCCCCACTCACACTCTGTCTCTCTTTCAAAAACAAATAAACATTTAAAAAATGTTTAAGGAGTACCTTCTCTATTTTAGACACTCCATAAGAAATGCATAGACAAGGGGCACCTGGGTGTCTCAGTTGATTAAGCATCTGACTCTTGGTTTTGGCTCAGGTCATGATCTCACGATTTGTGGGTTCGAGCCCTATATCGGGCTCCAAGCTAACAGCACAGAGCCTGCTTGGGATTCTCTCTCTCCTTCTCTTTCTGTCCCTCCACACCCCCCCCCCCCCCCCCCCCCCCCCCCCCCGGTCGCCACCGCCGCCATGCAAGAGTGCTCTCCCTCTCTCTCTCAAAATAAAAAAATAAATTAAAAAAAATGCTTAGACACATCTTAGCACCTGTAATGCTCACAACATCTGCGTGGAGAGAGACAAGGCAGGGACTAAACACCCTGAGCAGGCATCACCCATTGGAAGTAACTGAATTGACTCAAAGCCAAGGAGGACATCGCCCTCACAGTTAAACTCCAAAGTATTTAAATGCAGTCTTTCCCGCCAGTCACAAAACTCAGGGCGGTATGTGTGTGTGTGCATGTGCGCACGCACACAAGCACGAGTGTGTAAACAGAGAGATTCCAACATGCTGTTCATGTATCTCCATCTCACTGAATTCTTATAAAAAATACACTTCGTGGTCTACACATGGCCGACACACTTCCATCTGAGGGCAGGTTGAGGGGGGCATCTGTGCCCCCGTGACGTCACGGGTAAGCTCACAAAGCTCAAGTAACAGGCTTCACGGGGAGAAGCTCCCATCAGACCCATCAGGCCTCAGTAGTGGGTCCTCATTTCAGGAATGTCCCAAGGATAATGACTTGCCTTGAGGAAGGGCTTGCTTCTCAGCAAAGCTAGCCTGATAACATGCTGTAACCTAGTGAGACAGAGCTCACGGCCTCCTCTCAGGTCTGGCTCACTGCTACTCCCGAGCCCTGCTATTTCCTCCTCTCTGCCCTCCTGAGCCCACAGTACCATCTAAGACAGGTGCATGTGGCACCGTGGGGCACAAGACACTCCCAAGCCCCTCCAGGAGCCCACGAGTCCTCCTCAGGCTTTAACACTTCGGGGTCCTCACAGGACCAGTCTGGGGAGGACCGTGATGGGGGCGAGGGGTCTCCCGAGAACCAAATGGTAGCCTCCTGACTCACAAAAGGAGAAGCTAAAGCGGGGGAGAGGTTGCATTCCCCTCTCTTTCTTTCTGTGTCACTGTTCTCCTGCACCTTAGGAACTCCTGCCATCTGTTCAAAGTCCCCCACTGTGAGGCCCATTCAGGCCCTCTCTCCACCCATACTGCCCAACGCTCTCAACCTCACATCCACGGCTCCCACTGTGCTGTCGCTACCCTGCTGGAAAAGCAGTCTGACCAGACACACAAGAAGGTATGAGAGACTAGCCGCCTGCCTTCCTTCCTTCCTTCCTTCCTTCCTTCCCTTCCTTCCTTTCTTTCTTTCTTTCTTTCCTTCCTTCCCTTTCTTTCTTTCCTTTCATTTCTTTTTCTTTCATTCCTTTCTTTCTTTCCTTCCTTACTTCCTATTCTTTCTTTTTCTTTCTTTCTTTCTTTCCTTCCTTCCCTTTCTTTCTCTTTCTTTCTTTCTTTCTTTCTTTCTTTCTTTCTTTTTTTCTTCTTTTCTTTTCTTTATTTCCCCCTTCCCTTCCCTTCCCTTTTTTCTTCCTTTCAGAAAGGCAGAGAGAAAGGGGGACAGAAGATCCGAAGCAGGCTCTGTGCTGACAGCAGTGACCCCAATACCAGGCTCAAACTCACAAAATGGGAGATCATCACCTGAGCCAAAGTTGGACGCTCAACCGACTGAGCCACCCAGGCGTCCCACAGGGTGCTCATTTCTTAGTTTTGACGTATCTTTGATGAGTGAGGTTGTTGGATGAGAGGTTGGAAATTTCACTTCCTTGAAATCCTTCTACTTTAGTTGGGTCCCGGAACAGGAGAAAAATTATGCCTGGCTCCCAAGCCTTTCTTTCTACCTCCAGAGAAGAGTAAGAGAATTAATTAGACAGAAAGCTGATAGAGAAGTCCCTCACTCAAAAAACAAAAACACCGCTGAATTTAACTGCACGAGGGAAACCAGGACATCGGGCTACTACAGTTGTCCAGGGGGAAATACATCCAGCCCCAAGGTTCTGGAAGCTGTAGACGGCCAGCTCAGGGACCCCATCCAGACTCTTTTCTCCAGTCTTTCCTCTTCACTGGCCATGAGTATCAGTGAATACCTAAGCGCTCCGGTAGGGGAAGAGTTAGAACAAAGGTCACTCCTCCAGACCCTGTCCCAGGAGGGAGAACAGGTTTGAGAGGGAGAGAGAGTTAATTTCTCAGCCCTAGAAGCCTCAGGCCCGAGTAGAGGAGTAAAGAGCCCTGTCTGCCTAGGTCCCCCTGGTTTAAGGATCTAAGGGTGTGAGAAGGGACCCAGTGAACTTTCTGACCTGTCCACTGGCTTCTTGCCCTCCCCACTGGCCACAGAAATGCCTATTCAACAGCAGTGCTCAATACCATCATTTTACTACTGAACACATTATGTGCACCATATCTATGAGTTCCTAGGCCGTCCCCTCTACTGAAGAGGCCTGCACTCCCAGAATTCCTGCTGGTAGAGCAAGACATGTGACCATTTGAGTTCTCTTGTGTTAAGAATCCACAGGTAGGTACAGGGATCCCAGAGCGGCTTTGCTCCATTCTGTTACAATAAAGAGCTGTAGGGACAGTGACAGAGTGAAGTCCTGAAGGCCAGGGGAATCAGTGAGGGACACAGCCTAGCTGGGAGATCCAGAGAGACCTTCCTAGATGAATTAACACTCCTGCTTCATCTTGAGAATAAGAGTTATCCAGAGAAAGATGATGGAGAAGACTAGTTAAAAATTGTGTATCAGAGGCACCTGGGTGGCTCAGTCAGTTAAGTGTTTGACTCTGCCTCAGATCATGATCTCGGGGTTCGAGCCCCGTGTCAGGCCCTGTACTGACAGCTCGGAGCCTGGAGTGTGTTTCAGATTCTGTCTCCCTCTCTCTCTGCCTCTCCCCTGTGCTCTCTCTCAAAAATAAATAAACACGAAAAAAATTTTTAGGGGCGCCTGGGTGGCTCAGTCGGTTAAGCGTCCGACTTTGGCTCAGGTCATGCTCTCACAGTCCGTGAGTTCGAGCCCCGTGTCGGGCTCTGTGCTGACAGCTCAGAGCCTGGAGCCTGCTTCAGATTCTGTGTCTCCCTCTCTCTCTGCCCCTCCCCTGCTCATGCTCTCTCTCTGTCTCAAAAATAAATAAAAACATTAAAAAAATATTTAAAAAAAATTTAAATCTCAGCCTTATCATTAAAAAAGATGTATCAATATTTCAATGTTGGCAAATTGGTTATGACTAATCCACCATACCAATGTTAAGATATTAATAATAGGGGAGGCTGAGTATGAAGTATATGAGAACTCTACTATCTTTACAACTTTTCTGTGTATCTAAAACTCCGAAAATAAAAAGTTTATTGGGGCACCTGGGTGGTTCAGTTGGTTAAGCGTTCTGACTCTTGATTTTGGCTCAGGTCATGATCACACGGGTCATGGGATCAAGTCTCAGGTCATGACAGCATGGAGCTTGCTTGGGATTCTGTCTCCCTCTCTCTGCCCCTACACCTCTCTCTCTCTCAAAATAGAGAAATAAACTTAAAAAAGTTACTTTATTTAAAAAATCCCTATGCCAAGTCTCACCCATGCCAATTAAATCAGAATTTTGGGAGTGCAAATATCATCAGAATAGTATTAGTATCATCAGCATGATACCACAAGCAAAGTTTGGAACTCAGGTGTATGAGAAGTCCCTGAGGCATGGAGGCTGTTACATTTTGGCATTAGTTCACTCAAAAATGTTCCCAAGTAAATAAAAATGTTGAGCATTTCTTCTATTTTACATCTATGTGAAGTTAAATTAAAAAAATTTTTTTTTGTTTAATGTTTATTTATTTTTGAAAGAGAGAGAGTGTGTGTGAGTGTGAAATTTGGGAGAGAGAGGAGAGCCACACAGATCTGAAAGCAGGCTCCAGGCTCTGGGAGCTGTCAGCACAGAGCCCAACCCAGGGCTGAACCCCAAACCTGGTGAACTGACCTGAGCCAAGTGCTGGAGGCTTACCTGATCATTTAAACCACTTATAGTTGAATTTTTAATAATGAGTGTGATAAAAATAAAGTAATGGAATGACTTGGGGAAAAAAGATAATCGGAAGGGATATTCCAGGGAGCAAAACCTTATTTTTAGACTTAGGAGTTGAAAAGCCAGAGGGAAGGACAGCCTGTGGTCACTTGGGAGGCAGGCGTTCCGTGTAACAACCTTGGCAACATTTTGGCAATCTGAGCCACTGTCATGCATAGACTGCCCGTTCCAGAGCCAGGGATCACCTGGTCACACATGACACATCCCAGACAGAGCTAGCTCAGGAATTGAACACATGATCATCCACTGGGGGGGTGGAGTCACTGAGGCTGTTCCATTAAGCAAAGGAGGGACTCTGCTGAAGGAAACAGGGTCCAGACCCCATATCCCCACTCCTGTCCGGATGACGGAGCCTCGAAAGCGGTGTGCCAGTTTCCTCGCCTTCTCCACCACCTGCCTTTAAACTCCCAGCCCCATGCCTCCCCCCACCCCCCCCCCGCCCAGTTCTCCAGATGGACCCTCCCTAATCCCACAAGGCTAGAAGACAACCCCCTTTACCTGACTTTCTATGTTTTCATGCAGAGGGATGCCCATTGGAGAAACATGTGACTCTTGACTCAAACTGCTTTCTGCAGGCAGAAGTCTCACTCGATGGGAGATATAGATGTGGCTCAGTTCCTTTTCTGCTCTCCTTAGAACTACTGCCTACAGGAAGCCCAGATTTCTCTCAATGTGTCATCTGTCTTACCGGGCTGTTTCAACCTGATGGGGTGAGCAAGTCTCCGATTCAGGTCATGCTATTTTTTGCCCACCAACATCATCAAGTTGCGCCCAGCCTGGCCTCTATCAATCACAAAGCTGGTGGATGCTACCTCCACCTGACTGACTTCTCCTCCTATCTCTCAACAAGTTCTGAAGTGAGAAAGCTTCCTCACACCTTCACACACACAGCAATGCTGACTCTGCCCATTTCACAGACAGGAGAATAGAGCTGAAACTCACACAGACCATTTTTAATATTTGTTTTTTTTCAAAGTTCTTGTTTTTTTTTTTTGTATTTGTTTTTTTTTGTTTTTTTTTTTTTTAAGTTTTTGTTTTTTGAATGGTTATAAAAGCCTGTACATATATTCATTTCGGCCTCGGCTATTCTAAGATCATTTACAATATGTTTAGCCTCCTTTTTCCTTTATTGGATCTTTCCATCTCTGGAAATGAAAGTTACAAGGAGGAAAAAAATTAAGAGATCCTACAAAAAAAAAAAAAGGTCAAGATAAAAGGATTCTCAGAGCCTGTCTTTCCACCTAGCGAAAAGGCTAGACTGGGATGCTAGAGGAGGGGCAGGACTGGGGGCACTGCCTCTGTGTCCAGGGCAAGAACATAGGATGGGCTATGGCCAATTAACCCCTCCACTATAGGAGGAATCGGAGGGAAGGGAGGGCAAGATTTTGAGGACACAGCATCCCAAGGGAAGGGAAGAGGCTGGAGAACAAAGAAGTGGGCTAGAATAACATTGCCACACCGTCTAAGTGCCAGACGGGAGCCAGAGGGAAGTGTGGCCTAGCCCTGGCACGCAGTTGTGACCTCTGCTCTGAGTTTCTGCAAAAACAGCTCTATCGGGACCCTTTCCCTCTTGGCCCTGGAGTGTGAAAGGGCAGCTGAGCTCCTGCCTGCAGAAGGGTGAGGGGAGGTGAGGAAGGGAAAGAATATAGTCACTCAACAAGCAAAGGCTGTGCTCGGCCAAGCAGAGCCCAGGAAAACCTGACCCCAGACGCAGTGGAGGGGAAGGGGCAACGCTGGAGTAGGGAACGCAGACAGATGCACTAACATTCTTCCGTTTCCTGAACCAGGCTGCTGCTCAAACATCTGTGGGGTGGGCTTAAGAAGTGATTTGCGGGGCGCCTGGGTGGCGCAGTCGGTTAAGCGTCCGACTTCAGCCAGGTCACGATCTCACGGTCCGTGAGTTCGAGCCCCGCGTCGGGCTCTGGGCTGATGGCTCAGAGCCTGGAGCCTGTTTCCGATTCTGTGTCTCCCTCTCTCTCTGCCCCTCCCCCGTTCATGCTCTGTCTCTCTCTGTCCCAAAAATAAATAAACGTTGAAAAAAAAAAATTAAAAAAAAAAAAAAAAAAGAAGTGATTTGCGATTACAAAGAGAGCCTCCTGGTCAAAAACCTGGGGCACCACTATGCTGTGAGCACGGACCACCTGTCTGGGCTCAGCCTGGACCAGCCATCCTCCTGAAAGCCTCCTACTCTGCCCTGGCCTTCTTGAAGTTTTCCCCTCCCCGCTTGTGGTGAGCCTCCACATGCCCTCCTGGGCTCCTCGACTTACTTCATGACCAGAACGCCCTTCCTGGTGGCAGCCTCCAGGTCGACGTTGTCCACACCCGTGCCGGCCCTGCCCACCACCTGGAGCCTCTCTGCTGCGTTGATGACATCAGCAGTCACCTTGGTGGCTGAGCGGACGATGAGGCCTTCACAATCCTGAGGCAGAAGAAACATTTGGGTCCACAGTCGGTCTTCCAGACCTCCTAGCACCTCTTTGCCCAAAGTGGGAGTTCTTGCCTGCCAGCTGACTTTGGATATATTCAGAGTAAGGAAGAGTCCGCCGTTAGTCAGGCCTGGAGTCAAGTCCCGGCTCCCTCCCCTAAGAGCTCAGAATTTGAGATCTGGCCTCCTCCAGTGCATGAGAAAATGAGCTAGGATAGGTATCGCACCTGGCAGGCTCTCTGGCCCCACTCAACGGACATGACCTCTTCATCGGACACTGCCCTGCTCAACAGACATGACCTCTTCCGTCGGACACTGCTGCTGAATGGAGAGGTGGGACCAAGTTCTACTTTGTAAGCCCCTATGACTGGCACATGCGAGGCACTCAGTAAGTGCTGGCTGGCTGAGCGACTAAAAAGTGAGGAAAAGACAAACTGTTGAAAGAAAGACATTTCCTAAAATAGAGACCAAAGTAAGAGGACGAAGGAGAACAGTTCAACCAGTCTATAGCTGTTGAGAAACACAGGCCGTTTTAGACTAAAAAATATGCATACTTTCTGGATGCACTGAAGCCGCTTTACTTGTGCTAAGTTAGACCTCAAGACAAGCTTTCTTGGGCTCTTCCAGAATCCTGTGATATGTTCTCTGAATAAGGATACTGTTGCCCAAACACTCAGTGAGAGTCCCCAGGAAATGGGCCAGGTGCACGGGGGCCCGCTCTGCCCCAAACTGGCTATCCGGGGCTGCTGAGGAGGCAAGTGCTGTTGCAAAAACAGGAAGCTGGGGATCAGGAGGCTGGGGTTCCAGTTCCAGGTCTGCCAAAGTTAAGGCGGGTCACGGTGCTAAGTCACCTCCCCCACCCCTGGTCTTCATCTGTAAAGTAAGAGGGACGGAGCAGACGCCCCATGTCTGATCTGACCCCACTGATGTAAGCCGCTCCGCCATTTCCCCCGGCAGAGCTCTCACCTGGAAGCCATGAGAACCTTCTCCCTTCCCTGCCCACCACACACACTGGGAGGACAGAGAAAGGCCACTGTATCCGGCTCCCCGGGCTCCGCACGGGGGTCTTCTAAGCACTGGAATGACTGCTCAGCAAAAGTTGTAAAATTTTTCCTCAGGAGGTGCTTATGCCTCATGCATGCTCCCTGGTGGGGGGGGGGGCTGTGCCTGACCACAGAGAGCCCTTTCACGTCCACAGTTCTGAAACAGAACCTCAAAATGTGAGACTCCAAGGAACACGTGACCAGCCTCTGGTCCAACTGCATTTCACAGATGAGAAACAGAAGCCTGACAAAATTCAGGATGCCCATGTCCCCTCTTCCTGCCCTTTTCATGCCTTCCTTCCACCTATGGGGTGCCTGGTAGGTATGTAGCCGGCATTATGCTAGACTCCGTCAACACAAGAGGAGTAAGTCATAGTCCCACCCCTCAAGGAGCTCACAGTGACAGACATGCCAAAACTCACCATTACGCATGTATGCTGTGACCTCGGAACGTACAAGGCACACGCACACGGAAAAGTTAGAGGAACCGAACAGGAACCACCCCATCTGGGCTCACTGCCAACACTGGCCAACGCCAGGGAGAATCTCGAGGGTGCTTGAAATTCCTCCCTATAAAGCAGCCTCGTTGGACATGAGCCAATGCCTGGGCACATGGGGACACTGCGGACTGTCCCACATTCAAGTCCACTGCTCTTGGCTCCAAAGCAAAGGATCCCCATGCCTGGCCACCCACTACCAACTTTTCCAAGTACAGCGAACTTCTCTTCCATGAAACCTTTGCCAACAACCCTGGATTTAACATCACTCCCTCCTCCTATTTTTGTATCATCTGTTTTACAGTCAGGTGTTCTCGGTCTGACCTGCAATTTGGTCTCTTCATCTATATGTTACATCTCTAAAGCAGGTTATTTTAATAGCTGATAACTTACTTTTTAAAATACCTTATTATTTTGATAGCTAGAATACTCCATTGAATAAATGAATTCAGTGATTTGAGAGGCCATGGAAACCTACCCTCACCATTCTCCCCACCACCACCTTCCTTCCCTAAATAATTCAAACATGTCACATGATCAAAAATGCACCACTGTAGAGGTGCTTGTGTGGCTCAGTCGGTTGAACGTCCGACTTCAGCTCAGGTCATGATCTCACAGTCCGTGAGTTCAAGCCCCACATAGAGCTCTGTGCTGGCAGCTCAGAGCCTGGAGCCTGCTTCATCCAGATTCTGTGTCTCCCTCTCTGCACCTCTCCAGCTCACACTTTTGTCTCTCTCAAAAATAAATAAACATTAAAAAAAATTTTTTTTTAAAATCCACCACTGGAAATTCCTTCTCCTGTCTGTGATAAGGAGGCAGAAGACCTATACAACAGCATTCAAGAGTTCTGTGAGCATAACAATAAGTCAAGGGGTGCCTGGGTGGCTCAGTTGGTTAAGCGTCCGACCTTTGGTTTCCGCTCAGGTCATGATCTCACAGTCTGTGAGTTTGAGTCACGATTGGGCTCTGTGCTGACAGTATGGAGCCTGCTTGGGATTCTCTCTTTCCTCTCTCTCTCGAAAATAAACTAATAAACTTTAAAAAAAAATTAAAAAAAAAAAAAGAAAGAAAGGATAAGTTAGGAGAGAACCAGGACGAAAATGTTCAGAAACTGACAAATTGCTCAACAGAACCAAATGGGGACCTGGCAAACAGAGCCATGTGTGCCTGGAATAGACAAACAGATCTGTGTCTGTCTGGGAATTGAGAAAATGATAAAGGTAGTATTCAAACTGATGGGGATAGGAAGAGCTATGTGATAAATGGTATGAGGTAAATTTAGAAAAAATAAATAAATTTCTATCTCACTATAGATTTTTAAAAATCCAGAAGAATTAAAGAATTTTTTTTAAGATAAGCATTAGGGGGCGCCTAGGTGGCTCAGTCGGTTAAGAGTTCGACTCCAGCTGAAGTCATGATCTCATGGTTCAGGAGTCCCAGCCTGGCATCGGGCTCTGTGCTGACGGTTCAGAGCCTGGAGCCTGCTTT